CAAAAATTAAATTAGAAGATTACCTGGATTAAATTTCTGTTCATTACTCAACATCCCAGAGAAAAAAACTTGGTTTTCCATTTTTGCACTAGAGCCGTACTTGCTATTCTTCCTCAGAAGACATTGTGCAACATTTTGGCACCATCCACCTCCCTTAAATATCCAAAATTTAACATTTAATTAACTAAGTTGCTATTCTAAGATAGAAGAAATTCACAAGAATATGAGTGTGTTTGGTACGAAGGAAAAATAATAATAAAATAAATAAATAAAATATATATATACATATATATATATATATATATATATTTTATGTTTGGAAAATATTCTATCAAGCTTAGTAAAAGTGAGCAAGTTGCATAAATGACATCTCAAAGTTTATCGTCTTTACCCACCCCAACCCTCACCCCTTGACCATCCCACCCGCATCACCAGGGCGGCTCTAATAAATCGGTGGCCTAAAGCCAAATCTAAATGGAGGCCTTAATTCAAATATATATTTTTTATGAAGTTTATTATAGCCAATTATTTAATCTTTCTTGAGACATAGTATTCGTAATTTGTCGAACTTCTATTACTTCTTTACTCTTTTATGAAAAGTTTTTATTTTCTACAAGTAATACTCGATATTTAAAAAAAATAATACTTATAACATATTTTATTTTTTTTAAAATGAGGCCCCTCAAATCTTGGGGCCTAAGGCAATTGCTTTTTTTTCAAAGCTGTAGAGCCGTCCCTGCGCATCACCCCCAAACCTCCATGCTGTAGAGAATAACAGAAGAAAAATATAATCGGGGAGACCTTCTGCTAGCCCAAGATCGTTAACTAACACCGAAAGATTCAACTAAAGAAGAGGAGACTAGAAGGGACAAAAAGTATTTTAGATAGGAAAACGTGATTATGAAAGAATACTCTTTGATTTGGGTTTTGGGTTAATTACAAATGACAATGACCACCCCTATTTATACTTATGTAGAGATGCTTCTAGAAATTATTCTACATACATCTACAAAAAAAATCTAGATAACCTTATCTTCTAACTATCTAACAAGATTCTAGATTATTCTATAATTTACCACAAATATCTAATTTCCTATAACATCGATCTACGCAATTCTTAGATACATCAAGTACTTAAGATATTACTCTACATAATTCTAGAAAGTTATACTAAATATCTGGATTTAGACAGTTAGTTGCACCTCCAAAAATCATCTTTATTTTTTCACACACTCCCTATCCCTATCTGCCTCCATAACATTTCGCTAATAACATATAAATACTCTTAGAATAATTTTTTTACTAAAAATAAGTAAGAAATTCACTTTCTAATAAATCATCTTCCTTGATTTAAAGTAAAATTTTATTTAATAAATCAATCTCAAGGATGGAGATTTGTTTTGGAAAATATAAAGTTTTTTCATTATTATTGAAATAAATTCCATAGAGATAAACTGAGTTTTAAAAAATACCAAAACTAACCTCAACTGATATTACCCAATTATTCACTCCTGTACCTGACCCTCTATCAAGATGATATGCTGGTGGACTTCCATCCAAACAAACTATAATAAACACAATATTAATAATAAATAGATAAATAAATAAATAACCAGTAAATAAATATATATGTGCGTGTGCGCATTTTTATATGTATACACACACAATAGAGAAGTGTCAATAAATAATTCGAACATATAGATAGATAGAACGAACAACTGTTTGTGTTTTTGTTCACTTCTATGTGTACACATACACAAATCGAGAAACATCCCAAGTGTTCAAAAACAAAGAATTTTTAAAATTTATTTTAGAAAAAATCCTTGTGGCCAAAAAATTCTTCAAACAAACATATGAATCGATAAACATTCTTCAGACAAAAAAAATAACAAGAAAAATTAAATGGAATTAAAAGAGAGTAGAAAATCACCAGCTCCTTTTGCAACAGCAGTTTGAAGTATAGTGAGATTAACAAGGGAACTTTCTGTTGTAACAAAATTCAGCAAATAAACAAAAAAGAACAAAAAATTGGTCACCATTCTTCTATTTTTAATTTCTCTTAATAAATAATATTGCTAATTATGGGCAGAAGAAATACACACATATATAGAGAGTGTGTGTTTTTTCAACAAAGAAACTGATTTTATATCAAGTAATAAATCTTTATTTGACCAAAAAATATCAAGTAACAAGGTGTAATAAACTAAAGACATAAATGGAATATTTGTGAATTGCGATTCTTGACAGTGAATTAAAGGGGAATTAAATTCATGATTATATCAAAATAATCTCTCTTTTTACTTGTCTAATTTTGAATTTTTATTTGTTCATTTTTTCTAGTTTTTTTTTTGACAAATCAATAAAAGATAATAGTTGTTATCGATTATACCCTCAATTTATTTAGAGAGTTAATATTTTTGAAAAAGATAAAAGCTCTTTAATGAGTAAAATGATTTTGGAATTCTATCAAATAATATGACTAAAGTGGTAAACTCATTATGTCAATTATTATTTTCTTAATAAGTGTGCTAAGTCAAAAATAAACAAGTAAATAGGGACAGAGAAAGTACCAATTTAGATAATTTTGGAAAACGTTTAAAATATAGTGTTAAACTTGTTTCAATCTTATTATTAGGCAGATAAATCAGTGATACAAGTATCTAACAACAAAAAATTAGTTGGAACAATGAAAATTGACCACTTGTTAATTAAATTCTACATCAGAGTTCTATTAACTAAATTTTGAGCCCAAAAAAACGTTAAGGACATTTTAAAATTAAGTGTAAGGAGGATATTTTTAAATCACTTCTATTAGATTAAAGATATTTTTGAGCCTTTTTCGCATCTAAATAAAGATAAAAACTTAAGTAGAAGCTACTTTTGGTGATTCCGAATATTAATGTATATTATATAATCAATTACACTGAATTACTAAAACAACAATTGACTGGGGATTGTAGGAACAAGAAAAGGACAATTATCTGACTATCCATCAAGATTTTTATTCATTAATCTGATTATTTGAAACTTTAACATAATCACATAGTTTAATGTTGGGTTTATTTGCTACTCTCTTTGTCCCTAATTACTTGTCCACTTTTAAATTGACACACCTATTAAGAAAGCAATAATTGATATAGTGAGTTTATCATTTTACCCCTATTAATTATGAAATAGATGAATTAAAAACTTAAGATTTTCAAAAAGTTCTATATTTTCCAAAGTAATAAATTAAGGGTATAATAGAGAGAAAAAAAAAGTCCTTTCTTGATTTGTCAAAATTGACAAGTAATTAAGGACAACTAAAAAGGAAAAAGTGAACAAGTAATTAGAGACAGAAGGAGTAATACTTATTCAGACTCATTCATAACATAAGCCTTTGTCTCCCGCACAATTTCGTTACATAAAATTCCACAAATTTTTAAAGTTGAATTTAGAATTATTAAAAAGGATAAAAGAGAAAGAATTAAATAAAATTGATTTATATTTTACGGGATAAATAACTCAATATTCAATAATGTATACCATTACGTCTTTTGAGGGCACGGAGCCAATAAATAATATTAAATTAATTAAAAAATATAATTATATAGAAATACCATGAATTCACGTTCGTTAAATCCGTGCCCACAATTTCGTCTAATGCAACTTTATGCATTGACAATTATTTAGATAGGGGATGCTAATTGATTTAAGCATCGTGCCGTAATTAACGAAAATACTTAGATTAAAATTATCGTAGAGCAAAAGATAAAATCAATTAAGGTCTACATCTATTGAAAGAGAGAAAATATTATCACTAATTGGCTTGATGTTTATCTAATTGTTCTTGTGAATTTAGATTTGTAACAAATTCATGCTCCATTTATGACATTGATGAACTAATAATAATTTAAATGATATGATTTAAAATTTTACATTTATTAGGCCCTTTATGTTTATCTAATTGTTTTTTAATGAAGATGCATGCATTAGTATTTGAATCTTATGAATTTCTCTCTCTTTAAAACTAGGACAAAGATAACTTACTTTAGAGGTGTCATATTTACTAAACCAATCATGAGAAAGACATAAGATCGAGGAAAAGATTAGTATGGACTAATATTGGACAAAATTGAAATACATTAAACTTAAGTGATGTTAAACAAAACAATTAGAAACTTATGTACTAAAATCTAATATGACTCAAAGTGTAACACAAAAACTTTCTTCAACTCCAACTTAGCTACTCCTCAACAACTACGTACCACCAAATAAGCAGGAGGTACAACATCGGCAAGCCTATTCGTTATAGAATTTCATAAACTTATTATAATTTGCAATCTCTAGCACAAGGGTAAGGGTCTTTATATTGAAACCCTGCTCTCTCAAAGTACCAATCCGCAACAGCTTCCGCAATTGTCTACACACGTAACATTATAAATTAAAATTTGTTACGAAACTCATCAAAAATAAGAATAATAGACACATGATAAAATTTGAAAAAACAAAAAGAATGTGTATATTCAAACTTTATATGTCTAAAACAAATGAAACATTACCTTATTAAGTAACCTTGGAGAGCTAGCACTGAACCAGTATGTTGGAAAACGAAGATCACCATGAGAATAGCAAGACGTGAGGAAATAACCCCTTGTACAACAAGAGGGTAGTTTGTTGAATGTCTTCAAGAACTTCACTCCAAAAGCTAAATTAAAACAAAACATACTAAAAAAAATTAAGGGAGAAGAAGAATCATTATACATGTGTAATGTGATGTCGTATTGTATACATTAGTTAATCACTAGAGAAATGTTAACCTTGAATAATTATAAGTTGGCTAGATGTGCATCTACTTATGTTATTGATGCAATCCATCCAGGCATGTTGAGGATCAAGGAATAGAGGAACCAAAGTGTTATTAATCTGGATCAGTGTACAAAATAATTAATTTCGTTTAAATTTATACTTATAGAAGCTAAAGAATGAATTAAAACCGAGAAAATTTAATTAGCATTTGTCTACTTGACCTGCCAGGAATCATAAATTGAATTGATTATGAAAAGTGGAGTCTGAATGTATGGAATAACATTCTGAGAGAAAAGGCACTGCACCATATATATCATCAATTAGGAAGTACATATAATGTTATAATGAGAGTGAAATATTTATACTACTATACTATATAATTAAAGAAATTGTTTTTGTTATGAAAGCTTAAACTTTTACCAGACTTGGCTCCATTACATACGTGCAAGCTGACGGCAAATTCTTAGCTGATCCCTGAGAACGAAAGAGGAAAAGATTCATCCTGGTATTATACTTCTTAAGCATATCAAAATTACTAAAACAAAAAAAAAAAAGTGACTCACATGTAGGTTAACAATTTTTCGATACATTTCTTGAATATATGAAGTACCATAGATTGTCTTGCTGCATTATAATTAATCATGAACGTGCCAAAGAGAAACGAATTTTCCTGAGATCATATATAAGAAGAGTGTGCTGACCTATTGATAAAGAAGGCAGCATCCGCGACACATTTTACTTTAGCACTCTCTGGAAGGAGGCATTTAAACTTGTCGCAGTTCAAGATTGTTGCCAACCCTCCTGCTGATGTTCCCGATAGAATTGCCTAACACCATTTTAATATTCAAGATTTAGCCAAGTAGGATTTTTTAATTTTATTTTGAAAAAAAGACGAAGAAGATATCATAGTATAAGGTAGTAGCTAGTACATATATGACTTGTAATTAGGAATATATGAAGCTAGATATTCTTACATTTTCAGCGCTTTTCATTCCTTTCCTCCATAAATCTTCCATAATAGCCTTAAATATTCTTGCCCCTCTAAAATACAACTTGTGCTCCTAACATACATTATTTGGAAAATTTAATCAGAAAAAAATTACGAAATTAATAAATATATACACGTGTAGTATATTTCTTACAGAGTGAACTTGTTCAACATCTCCAGTGAAAGATGAACCATCACAATACTTCACCCTCACCCTGTTCCAATTGTGAAACTCTACCAAATTTCAATATTGTTTGTCGTTAGAAGAAGTGAGTTAAAAATTCATAAAATGCACACATATAAGTAATAGTGTGTATCACCTGGATTTTGTTTAGAAGTATTGTGAAGTATACCGGCGAAAAAACCTCGTTGTTTCATATGGTTGGAAGAACCTAAGGACGAAGTTGAACGATCAAGGCAATCTGGGATACTTTCGCACCAACTACCTCCCTATGAATATACATTTTTTTCTTCGGACTAGTTAATTAGTTATGTTAAATATATGAAAATTGATTGAAAAAGAAGAATGAATTAAGTAGTAAGTAACTAACATCCAAGTAGATAATCCAGCGGCGAAGTCCAGTACCATATCCCCTATCCAGATGATATGCTGGTGGACTTCCATCAAGACATACTGTACACAAAACAAATAAATATTATCTGATTATTAGATTTCTTTGAGGAGTTAAGATTATATATTTATGTATACTACCTGCACCTTGGGTAGTTGCGCTTTGGAGTATTGTGATATTAACGTACAAAGAATCATGTTTATTGCTGACAACATGAGTTGTACAAAATACTGCTAGAAATGCTAGCAAAGCCAACACAAATGTTGTCATCCTACGGCAAACAAAAACAAGTGTAAATTATACTTAAAAGGGCTAAGGCATGAGGCATCGTTACCAAATTTTAGAATTAAAATCAAGAAAAGCTCAAATTATTAAAAGCGATGAACATTGATCTTATTTAACTAGCTCAATAAATTAAAAACCATGTCCTCAAACCACTTAAGCCTTAAATTTATTGTAAGATGTTTGCCTAAATGTCTTGCACAAGTTAAATTAAAGTACATCATATTAATATTTTTATTCCATAAAAGTGTAAAGCAGGAACATATGATGAGATATGACATATATCATCATTAATCATTTAGGCAATTAAATGATATTCAACAATGTTACAACTTATAGTTATAACTTGTAATCACAAAAACTGTAATATCTCTCATTTGCAATGAGTAAAACCAAAAATAGAATTAAATATGCGCTCAAGCACCCAACTCATATAAGGAGCTTGGGCTCGAAAGACAATCTTACTCAACAAACACCTTGTTTTGTAATAAAGTTACTTGATTTCATTCATTGAAGATTTTTTCTACAAAAAAAGATCAACGGGGATACTCACATATCCACTATATAATTGGACTCTGTGCATATAATCACACTAATTTTTTTTATACATCTATTTTTCTTATAATAATTAATAGATATATATAAAAGGAGAATCTCTTTTTGCTTGGAAACCCAATTAAAGGTATAACATGAAGGGTGAAGACAAAAATAAGTATGCCAAAATTTGAATTATGGTAACAAAGAGAACAAAGTAACCTTGACGAAGTTAATAAAACATAGAGAAAGAGAAAATATTTTCATTTGAGAAATAAAGAACTCCATAAAATGCTTATAATACTCATCAAAACACTCCTTTATAAAACTAATGATCACCCCAATTGCCTCTTTAGTCTTCTGCATAATATAAGTTTCAAGAAGAAAAATGGATAGAACAATTAGAAGTTGTTGCTAGTAAAAGAATCATTTATATTTTTGACCTTTTATCAAAATATGAAAGCAAATACAATGATGTGATGAATGATCAATAAAAGAGATAAAAAAGAGCAAAATATCTTTAGAGTTAAGTTACTATGAAGAGAAAGTTTCTTATGAGTTATAGAGGTATATAACATTTGGGTAATATGAAGAAACATGAACGATATTAATTATTAGAATATTTTCCTCATATTAATGATAACTTTATTAATGTCCCATTTGAAACCATTGAGTGAATAGGGACCAAACAAATGATTCATCTATACAAGAGATTTTTCGGTCCTTAATTAAAATTTAATAAATAAATAAATAAATAATCTATGTATACTTAATGCAATTATTATTAATACATGTATTGTTAATGAAAACATTATTAATATACTTTATTTAACATCATTCTTATACATTTTACCAAATCGACCTGATATTAAATATCAAAATATTAGTAGAAAAGGTGGGCAACATTTCTTTTAAGACTTCTCTGTCGTGTGTGTTTGCTTGCTTTTGTGCATTAAATTCTTTGTTTCTTAATATTAATGTTTCTATATATTTTGAATACAATTTTTTTCTTTACATTTGAAATTTATTGGTCACACATGTCTCTTGTCGATAATGGAGGAACTTATTTAAGTACATATACACAGAGTGTACCATACAGATGCAATTTAAATATTCAAAAAATTACGAATTGTAGTGATAATATATATATAGGCAAGTGGACTTTCTGTTAATAATATACAATATTTTTAGTTTATACAAGTTTTTTTTAAATTGTGCTTATGAGACTCTTTAATGTTATTGGATATTTGTCTATGACATTATATTGGTGAATTGTACATGCAAAACATACCCTCCTTCGGTAAGACTGTTACTGCTTGTGCATTGAAAAATTGTAAGCTATCATGGAGAAGATAGCTTCTGAGTTTACAGAGAAAGGAATTCAGAAGTATTAAATTTCAAAGTGAACTTTATTAATTTCATAACTGAACAAGATCAGTACATTTATATACAGGAAAAGGAAAGAATCTTTTGTAACTACTTTAACTAACTATTTTCTATCTAATCCTCTAACTTCTATTATTTACATAATGACTCTCAACTTACTATGTAATACCATCTTTAATACTCCCCCTCAAGTTGGTAGGAATGAACATGTTCAATACTCCAAACTTGGACAACAAATACTCATGTTGAAACTTGCCCAGTCCCTTAGTTAGTATGTCAGCCTCTTGCTCTTTGGTATGCAAATACTCAGTTTTAATTAGGCCATTCTGAATTTTCTCCCTTATGAAATGACAGTCCAATTCTATGTGCTTTGTTCTTTCATGTAGTACTGGGTTAGCAGCAATTTGTATGGCAGACTTGCTATCACTATAGATGGTCGCTGGGGTTACAACATCAACTCCTAGTTCCTTTAACAGTTTTGCTATCCACACTACTTCAACTATAGCACTTGCCATGCTCTTGTACTCAGCTTCAGCTGAACTTCTAGATATAGTTCCTTGTTTCTTGGATTTCCATGATATTAGTGAATCTCCCAGCTTAACCATGAATCCAGTGACAGACCTTCTGGTGTGTAAACAAGCCCCCCAATCTGAATCACAGTAGACCTTTAACTGTTTGTTATTCTTGCTGGATAATAGTACACCTAGCCCTGCTTGTCCCTTTACATATTTCACTACCTTGAGAGCAGCATTGAGGTGTGATTGTTTGGGTTGATGTAGGAACTGGCTCAGAGTTTGTGTAGCAAAAGCAATGTCTGGCCTG